TGCAGCCTCCTCCTTTTGGGTGTTTGCGGGGGCATCCCTGCATAGGCACATTAATTAACTCATTGTCTATTGGTGATGAGTCCACCTGCAGCCCCCATCCCCTCTCATTCTTAGGCACATTCACATGACAAAAGACACTTTTTTTTCTTTCTTAGGAAATTCCAAGAGTTTTGGACTTTGCTGGGAATGAGGACTTAGACCAAAAACATACTTTAAAAAAAAAAAGATTTTATTTATCTATTTGACAGAGAGAGAGAGAGAGAGAGATCACAAGCACGCAGAGAGGCAGGCAGAGAGAGCGGAGAAACAGGTTCCCCACTAAGCAGAGAGCCCAATGAGGGACTCAGTCCCAGGACCCTGAGATCATGACCTGAGCCAAACACAGAGGCTTAACCCACTGAGCCACCCAGGCGCCCCCAAAAATGTACTTCTTACCCTGAATCACATTATCACAGGGGCAATGAGCATACAAACCCAAGCTTCCATTCTAACAGATTCAATGACAAGACAAAAGAAGCAGACAGACTGTGGGTGGGTAGACAGGGAGGGAGGCCCAGATCAGGATTTTTGGAGGAGAGATAGTGAAGGATAATGTTGTAGGCACCCCACAGAAAGAGGATGGACTCCTCCATCTGAAGTTTAGCCCACATGTCAAGACTGACATGCCCCACACACACCACAGGGTCCCTCCTGACTCTGTGGGGTGACCACAGTTGGCACTGTGAACAGGCATCTAGATGACCACCACAGGGTCTTTCTCATCGTGCTGTCCTGCTCACTGGCCCTGTTGTCTGCTGGCAAACATGCATTTGGAGTCATGCTGCTTGGCACTACATTTGCTGAGATCTGCGTCTGCTGTAGACATAACTGACCCAAGTCAGAAGCTTCCATAGTTGGCCTTCAAGAACAGAGGTATGAGGCTGGGGGCTTCCATCAGGTGGCCCTGGGTAGCATGTCTATGCCCAGACCTATCTGTGTGCCTCTTCCCAGCTCAGGAGTTCTGGGCTGGGGGTTGGGGGGTGCGGGGAGGGACCTGAAAGTTACAACCCTCTAATCACACTGTTGGTTCTCTTGGCAACTAGACTGCTTTTTTCTCCAAGAGTCACCAAAGCAGCATAAATTCTGGTAGGGTTAAAAGAGGATTTCGACTCAGGTCACGATCTCAGGGTCTTGAGATGGAGCCCTGGCAGGCTCTGGGCTCAGCGTGGAGACTGCTAATGTCTTTCCCTCCCCCTGCCATGCAAGACACCAAAGGCTGCAGAGGGCCAGACCTCTGGATGCAGATTTTGGGGCCAGGAGCCAGGGAGCAGTTAGTGGCAGTGGCAGTGTTGGGATGGGATGTCTCAGAAGAAGGGACACTGAATCCTAGGGAGAATCAGTGTCCCAAGGATCCAGAGCAGAGGACCGGATGAGTGGTAGGGATACAAGATGGAGTGAGTAGGGTCTGAGAACAGGTTGGTGGGACAGTTGGGGAGCTGTTGGATGCACAGACCTGAAGCCGGGAGAGACTAAGAACCACCCCACCCCAGGTGACATGTGAAACTGTCCTGTGTATGCAGTCAATGCCAAGAAGAAGGCTTAGGATGGGCCCTGGGAACGCCCTTGTTTGTAAAGTCACTGGGGGAGGAAAAAAGGCCTATTCATAACTGAGAGGCAAAAAGTGGGAGGGAAACCAGAAATGCATGAAGGAGGAAGGAGCAGGCCACGTGGAAGGCTGCCTGAAGGCTGAGTAAGGTGAAGACCAGGAGACCACGGGATTGCCCAACATGGAAGTCTCCAGAGACCCAAAAAGACCACAAGCCATGGGCGCAAACGGTGAGTAGATTTCCATGGATAAGTTTGGCTGGAAAGGATGGAAGAGAAAGGAGGGCAGGCTCTGAGAGGGGTGGGGGCTACTGGTTTTTATGTGACTCTGTGGTCCCAGTGTCACCCAGTAGAAAGGCACACAGGGCATCTCGAAATGTTTGTTGAGTGAATGCATGAGTGAATGAATGGGACAGAGAAATAGGAGAGAGAGAGGTATAGAGATAGAGACAGAAGACAAAGTACAGCACCAAGCCATAACTGAGAAAAAAAAGTTCTTCACATCTGAGAACAAAAGATTCTGTCATGTAAGTCAGCTTTGAAAATTCCTTCTCCAGAAAGAAAATGGGAAGGGTTATTTTGAGACTGTCTCCAGTTAATGTACCTGATATCCTCACCCATGTTTTGTTGCCTTGTTTGACAATCCCAAGAGGAAGTGGTGTGTGGACAGGGAGCTGCCTCGCAGCCCCATCTTTCAGATGAACAAACTGAGGTCGAGCCAAAGCCTGATGGTCCCCCAGTGAACCATGGCATGAACTGAAGTTTCAGCCCAGTCTGTAGGATTCCAAAAGCTATCCTACTTTGGAAACTGTAGGAACATTCCTACATTCCTCTCTTCACCCCTGTACTTAGTCAGTGAGCCGTTCATCTGTCCATCCACATCTCTGGACAATGATTAATGATACAGGCTCTGGAGACAGCCTGTTTGAGTTCAAACTCTGGCTCTGGCACTTACCAGCTGCGTGACTGTGGGCGAGTGATTTTAATCTAGTCCTGCCTCAGGTTCCACATGGTGATGGTCTCCATGCTGTGGGCCCTCGCCCCAGGTGTCAGCATAGCTGAGTCCTCTCTTGGGAACAGGCTGCATTTCAAGCTTACAATGATGCCCGGGAGTCAAGTACGGAGCTCAGCACTTGAGAGCTCTGGGGGGCTTCCCAGGGAAGGTGGCGAAGGTGCTCGGAGCTTGCGCTGAGCCCGGGAGGTGTGAGCGTGAGGCTGTGAGCCAGTCCATGCCCTCTTGAAGCCTCCAGCTACAAAAGAAGGGATTGACTTTCTCCAGAAGCCACAAGCTGCAACTGTGTGTCAAAAGAGAACCACTAAGTAGCCACTCCCCACTCCCTAGAGCCCCGACACCACCAACCTGCCTTTTATCCTGGTGAATGTGCCTGTTCTGGACATTTCACATCCATGGGATCATACAAGATGTGGCCTTTGTGACTGACCTCTTTCACCGGGTACACGGTTTTCAAAGTTCATCCACATTGTGGCAGTTATCAGTGCTTCACTCCTTTTTCCAGCTGAATAATATCCCCTGGTCCGGAAAGACCACATTTTTTTTTTAAGATTTTTTATTTATTTATTTGACAGACAGAGATTACAAGTAGGCAGAGAGGCAGCCAGAGAAAGAGGGGGAAGCAGGCTCCCCGCTGAGCAGAGAGCCTGATGTGGGGCTCTCGATCCCAGGACCTGAGATCATGACCTGAGGCTTTAACCCACTGATCCACCCAGACGCCCCCGGAAAGACCACATTTTGTTTACCATTCATCATGGGATAGACATCAGCCTAATGGGTATGGAGTCTCTTCTGGGGGGGGAAGAAAATGTCCTGGAATTAGATTGTGGTGATGTTGGCACAGTGTGTCGAATGCGCTGGAATTCACTGAGTTGTGAACTTGAAAATGGTTCAAGTGCTAAGTTTTATGTTATGTGAGTTTTACTTTAAAAAAGTAGAGGCTCGGGGTGCCTGGGTGGCTCAGGGGGTTAAGCCTCTGTCTTCCGCCCAGGTCATGATCTCAAGGTCCTGGGATCAAGTCCCTCAACGGGTTCCCTGCTCAGCGGGAAGCCTGCTTCTCCCTCTCCCACTCCCCCTGCTTGTGTTCCCTCTCCCGCTGAGTCTTTCTCTGTCAAATAAATAAATAAAATCTTAAAAAAAAAAAAAAGTAGAGGCAGAAAGAGAAGATGAGAAAGTGGGGGAGAGAAAGAGTAAGAGGGAGATATCTGTATGGGAGCCATAGGTTTGGGGTTTTTTGCCAATATTTTATTTTATAGATTTCTTATTATTTGTAAGTAATTTCTATACCCAACGTGGGGTTTGAACTTCGAACCCTAAGATCAAGAGTTGGCATGCTCTACTGACTGAGCCAGTCAGGCGCCCCTGCCAGTATTTTAAAATCAGGAAATGTCTTACCATAAATTTAAATTTCCAGCTTCTCTTGAAACCTGGCAGTGCTGGTGTGTGTCCAGAGGGTAGCTCCGGACTGGAGCTGCGGGTGAATTTTATTACATGTAAATTGCATTTCAGTAAACGCACAGAGCCCCAGAAATCCAGAAGTAGAGAGGGTTTGAGTTAGGCGGTGTCTCAAAGCAAATCAAAAGCAGAAGACAGCACAGATTGTCTTGTCCCTGGTTCTCCCTAGGTCCCCTGTCCCTTTTTTTCTCAGTGGAAGCCTTCATGCAGAAAAAAAAAAACCAAACAAACAAACAAACAAAAACCAGAAACTTTCATGGAATGAGATAAACCGACCCCACACAGATAGTGGGATTCTCTGCAGGCAACAGGGTGGACTGTGTTGAGAAAATTCAATTAGAATCAACTCCAGTTTGGAAACCTCTTCAGTCTCTTCCTGATCACCGATTTTGAAATCTCTTCCTTCTCTTCTCTATCTGGTCTCTCTCTGTTCTTGCTTTCCCTGTCTCTCCGTTCCAGGGTTCTGAGCTCTTAGCCACTCACCCTCCTGCGTATTCCCTGCACCAGGTGGGGAGGGGCCTGGGTGTTGGCACCCCACCCCCCCTGAGCCTTCCTCACCGGGAATGGGGATTTCTGAACCCAGCTCCCAGATCACCTTGAGTCATGGGTGCTGGCTTGGACAGGAGGGGAGAAGAAGTGGGGTCGGGTCCCCCCCCAACAACCATCCTGGTCCCTTACCCTGCTCCCCTCCATTTAGTTTTAAAGCTCAATTAGGTGCCATTAGCTGAGAAGCATTTCTATAGGATTAGAGGGTGCCCCACCCCATGTCTTCCTGGTCCCCTTCCCTCAACCCGGAAATTGCATGGGCTGGGACAAAGAGAGTTAAAAGCTGTGTCAGCTGCCGGTCTGGGACAGACAGACAGAAGGAGGGGGACAGGTGGGGCAGCATGACAGCTGGCTGAGAAGCCAGGTGGACAGTGGGAGAGTTGACCGGCAGCGTGGCAGGTGGATGACAGGACGGGCAGGTAGTGGACAGACAGCAGAGACAGACAGGCTGAAACTGTGACAGCCACATGGAGGACTCAGTATGCAGAGGGACAAGGTGAGGAGGGGGCAGGTGGTCACCAACGGGGTGACACCCAAGATAGACAGAGAGGGGGATAGGCAGGCATCCTGTCCTCTTGGCATTTTGCTGGTGGGAGGGGTGGGCAAAGCATGGGGTGGGTTGACAGGGACAGGGACAGGGCCATCTCTGAGTTTCCGCCCACATTTCCCAGGACCTGGAGGCGGGCCATCCTGGGTTCCAGCATCCTACTGCTCCTTTCTGTTACTGGTGAGTTCCCCAGGGGGACAGGGGCCCCATCTCCCCGTCCAGGTCTGGTCCCCCCCAACCTGGCACAGAGGAGGGCAGGGGGCTACCTCTGTGCCTCCTATCAACTCCAGTTTTCCAGGTCCTGTCACCACTATCTTTTGATCTGTCTCTCCTGTGTCTTCCTGTCACTATGCTTCTGTCCTTTTTCTCTCTGTGTATCTCTGTCTCTGTCTTCCTCTTAACTTTAAGTAACTCTCTTTTTCTCTTTCTCTTCCTTTCTGTGTCTCTGGGCATTGTTGGGTCTTTTCATATTTGTCACTGGGTCTGTGTCTCCCTGTCCCTAACTCCCTCAGGGGCTCTGTCTTTCTCTCACCTCTCTGTGTCTTCATCTCTGCATCTCTCTTCCTATCTCTGACTCCCAATCTCTAGATCTCTGACCCCATCTCTCTGGTCCACACCCCTGTCCTTAGGGCTCAGTCAACCGGCCAAAGAGAAGATTACCGAAGGCAAGGAGTGTGCCCGTCACTCGCAGCCTTGGCAGGTGGGGCTGTTTGAGAGCACCAACCTGCGCTGTGGGGGGGTCCTCATTGATCGCAGGTGGGTCCTCACAGCGGCTCACTGCAGTGGCAGGTAAGCTCCTGTCTGGGTGGTCCCTTCCAGGGGTAGGCAAAGGAAGGATGGTGGGAAGGGGAGCTCTCAGGGTTGGGATCAGAAGGGAGAGCCAAAGAGTAAGGAGATGGTCCTGGAACAAGAAGGTCTGAGGTCAGACAAAGGGTAGGACTTACACAACAATGGGCCTGTGTTGGGCTAGGCGGGGTGGGTGGGTGGAGGGCAGGAAGGGTCCTGGAACCTACCCACCCACAGACTCCCATTCCCGTGTGTTCCCTTTCCTTTCTAGATAACCTCTGTCACCATCCCAGCCATGCCCAGTCTGGGCAACCTCTCTGGGCCTCAGTGGTCCCATCTGTAAATGAGGGGATTGGGCTTTCTAGGTCTGAAACTCTGAGGTTTTTTCTTTTTTTTTTTTTAAGATTTTATTTATTTATTTGACAGAGAGAGAGATCACAAGTAGGCAGAGAGGCAGGCAGAGAGAGAGAAAGGGAAGCAGGCTCCCCGCTGAGCAGAGACCCCCCCCCCATGTGGGACTTGATCCCAGGACCCTGAGATCATGACATGAGCCGAAGGCAGAGGCTTAACCCACTGAACCACGCAGGCGCCCCTGAGGTTTTTTCAAAAGGGAAGTCTCAGACATGAAGAGATGGATTGATTCGGAGACAGAACAGAGAGAGTTCACTCGTTACGCCCTCGCTCCTTCAGCTGACGTTGCTGACAGCCCAGGCAGCCTCTGGGTGGTGGGAACAGAGCAGTGAGCATGACAGTTGGATGTCTCTGCCTCAGCTAAGAGAATCAGGAAGGGGCAGAGAGGCACGGGCTCGGGGAGCACAAGTAGGCAAATGGGAAATGGAAAGATGGTGATAGAGGTGGGAGATAGGGCAAGCTTGTGAGAGAGTAAGGACAGACACTGAGGGGCAGAGCCGTGGAGAGAGGTTGGAGGGCCTGGGCGCCAGGGTCAGCCCACCCTCACTGAGCCATCTTGACCCCCAGCAGGTACTGGGTGCGCCTGGGGGAGCACAGCCTCAGCAGGCTGGACTGGACGGAGCAGATACGGCGCAGCGGCTTCTCCATGACCCACCCTGGCTACCAGGGAGCCCAGCATAACCATGACAATGACCTCCGGCTCCTGCGACTGGGCACCCCCGTCCGCTTGACTCGCAGTGTCCAGCCTCTGCCCCTGCCAACCACCTGTGCAGCGGCTGGCACCAAGTGCCAGATCTCAGGATGGGGCATCACCAATCAACCATGGAGTAAGGGGGCATCAGGGTCAGGGCTCAGGATGGGCAAAGTCTGGGGTGTAGGGCCTCATGCCACTTCAGCAGAAGGATGCATTAGGGTCAAACATGAGGATTGTGGTTTGGGATCAGAGATCATGGTGCACCAGGGATCCTGGGAGTCAAAATGGTTAAGGGGTTGGGTATACAGTCAGAAGTCATGGGTCGGGATGTGGCTGGAGGCCAGAGTGATGGCAGGGGTCATCAGACTGGAGCAAAAGACATTTATAAATAAGATCTTGGGGTCATGGGTCATGGACTCTAGTGTTAGAGGTCACTGTAGAGTTGAGGACTTGGGATCCAGATGTTGCACAAGCTGGCCATAATCTGAGGGTGGAAACTGGGATTCAATTGGGGATCACTGGCCTGGGATTGGAAGCCCTAGAGGTTAGGGGTCATGAGGTCTAGGGTCAAATAAACAGGGATCATAAGTCACTTTGGAGCTGGGACCAATGGCTTATTGCTTGAGTTTGGAAGTTTAAGAGAAGACAAGAAATGCGGGGTCTGGACACAGAGAGGGAACATGAGGTTAAGCTGGGATCTAAAGATAACAAGATTGAAGGTAAAAGGTCACAACATCTGGAATTTAAGAAGAAAAGTGGGTCTGGATTCGTTGCTTCTGAGGTTGGAGAGACAAAGGGTGTCTTGAATTAAGGCACTCAGAGTCATAGGTTAAAGGTCGGGAGACTGGGTCAATGAACAGGGGCAAGGGTCAATATCAAATGAAGTCATAAATCTGAAATTTAGATATTTGCAGATTGTAGTGGGGGGGGGGGGCGGTTCACAGGAAAAGGGCAGGGTATAGACTCATATTTGGCTTTCTTGAGTAGAGGGAGGTGGCCCCCAAGTGGAGAACTTTGGGAAACCCTATGGGTTCTATCTTCCACCCCCAGACCCATTCCCGGACCTGCTCCAATGCCTGAATGTCTCCATCGTTTCCAGTGCGACCTGCCGGACTGTGTTCCCTGGGAGAATCACGGACAACATGGTGTGTGCCATAGGCACGGAAGGGGCAGACGCCTGCCAGGTGAGTGAATGTAGGCAATGCGTGGTCACTCAAGGGAGGACGTTTGGGACAGAGCAGGGAGGATGGGGGGCAGACAGAGGTTGTCAGAAAGGGGAGGCGCAGGTTAAGGCAGGGAGAGCAAGGAGATGGAGGTCGGAGAGGAGGGGTGGGTGGTGGAAAACAGAGGGAGGGAGGGAACAGAGAAGGAAAGATGGGAGGGGCACAGGAGAGGGAGAGGAAGAGAAGACGAGGGAAGGCCAAAAGGTGGCAGGGACTTGGAAGTGAGGTGTGTAACCAGTTGTCTCTCCCCATACCGTCCTCCAACTGATGTTGGCCCAGGCGGAAGTGAGAGGATCTAGGATGGAGGCAGGAAAGGAGACTGGTGGATTCTTCTGCGCTCGAATTCTGCTACCTTGCTCCCTAGGGTCCTCCAGGTTGGAGGCTGCCCCACCCTACTGGCTAAAGCTCCAGCCTTTGTGCCTGAGAGAACATTTATAGCTCCTGACTTCCTTTGCTGGGATTGGTCACTGCTGGCGGTACTCTTTCCCTCATTGGTCAGGACCCCAGCCAGTCGTCCTCTACAGAACTCCTGTTCCTCACCTCCTTTGCTGGGATTGGTCACTGAAGATAGTGTCTTCACTCATTGGCCAGAGCTCTAGCCATTGTCCTTGAGAGACCCCCTCCGCCACCTTCTATGGAGTCCTGCTTTCCCTGGGCTTGGCCACCTGGGGATGGTGTGCAGTGCGTTCTTCCCGGTTGCTCAGTCATTGTTGTGGGGGGAAGACGGGGAGCACAGCAGTGCTCTTCTCTGCTAACCAGCCTTGGAACCTCTGTCTTCAAGGCCTGGAAATGGGTGTGGGGATCGGGGAAAGGACAATGGGCACAGGATTTCTCCCTTATTCATTCGGTGTTTCTTCTCTTTCTGCATTCTAGGGTGACTCTGGAGGCCCCCTGGTGTGCGGGGGAGTCCTTCAGGGTCTGGTGTCCTGGGGGACTGTGGAGCCTTGTGGGCAAAAAGGCATCCCAGGGGTCTACACCAATATTTGCAAATATGTGGACTGGATCCGGATGGTCCTGAGGAACAACTAACCTGCCTCCATCTCCACCGCTCAGCTTGGGGGCCACACTGACTGATCCTCAGAGCACCAATGCCGCCTCCGTTATCATACCTGGCTCCCACTTTTCTTGGGCTGAGGATCTTCTTCCAAGAACAACTCCAGCCAGCCCTTCTAAGTCCCATGGTTGGGGGAGGAAGGAATTTAATTTTTCCTGGAATAAATGTAACTATTGCTCTGTCTTGTCTCTTGGATATCCCCCTGCTGGTGGACACAGGAGGGAGGCTCATGGGTTCCCCTGCCCACAGGTGTAGGAATAGAGACCACAGGATGAGAATTTTCCCTTAGGGGTCACACAGGAATGGAGTAGAAAAGGTTACTTATAACAAAAATAGGTCCCATTTTTTTCTCCAACCAGCGGTTTGGGAACAGTGTCCATGAAGGTCCCAAGGGGGGAAATTATTGGTCCCAAAATACCAAATGAAAATTGCAAAATAAAAATTCATGACCATTTAATTAAATGTCTATAAAATGTAACATTCTTCCACCTTCCCAATTCCAACTTGGCTTTGCTGGAGTTGTTGAGCACACATTATATTTGATGTGGAATGTGGGTTCATTTTAATATGTCTGTGATGATGGAAGGCAGGGTGTAGCCTTGGAAAGCAAGAGGACCCAGCCTAGGTCTTAAAATAGTCCTGCCCACCCCTTGGGTTCTGTCTTCACTGCCATCCAGGAGATGCCAAGGGAGCTTCTCCCCAGTGAATGGAAGGGAAATTTGGGATGGGAGAGTGACAGTTGATGGTGACAGCGTGGGAATTCTTGGGTGCCTGCTGTGCTGGGCTCTCCTGGAGTCTTCATCCCAAACACCCCAAGGCAGGGCTGTCCCCCCCATCTCGCAGATGAAGAAACTGAGCCTCACGGGGGTGGAGTTCCTTGGCTCACGTCACTGTGGTAGGAAGAGCCAGAGCCGAGGTTTGAGGCCAGGGTGGCTGCCTGAGGAACCCATACCTGGTCGTCTTGCCCCACTTCTGGTTAGGGGAGAGAGGAGGGCCGGACAGAGAGGCAGGAGATCTCACTGATAACAAGCAGGCCCGGAGATAGAGGGATCGGCAGACAGGAAATTGAGGTGGCTCAGATTTGGAAGTCATCGGACCCGAGTCTCACAGCGAGTAAGTGCCACAGCTGGGTTTGGGGGGCCCCAGGATGCCCGGGGGAGGCAGAGGCAGGAGAGGGGAGTGGAGGGAAGGGAGACAGAAGTGAAGCCCCAGAGGAGCGCTAGGGGTTGGGGCCTTGCTGAGGGCTGACTCCCTTTCCCGGGCCTTGACTCCCACAGGCCCCGACCTGCCTCCCCCACCCTCTGGTCCTGCCCCTTTGGCTGGCAGCAGCCCCACCTGTGACGCCCCAGTTTCCCCCCTCCTTGGAATGGAGAAGGGAGGGCGGCCACGAGGAAGCCAGGGGCCCACCTGGGCTTGGGCTGTGGGGAGGGAGGAGGAGGGACAGGAGGAGAGACACAGAGCCTGGAGAACAAGGCGGAGGGAAAGAGAGAGAGAAGGAGGTGGAGGGAGGCAGAGACAGAGAGACACAAAGAAAGATAAAGAATTAAAGGAGTCCTTCAGAGAGAGACTGAGAGAGACACAGATAGAAAGACAGAAAGGCACAAGCACGGAGAGGCAAGGAGAAATATGGCCACAGAGTTACAGAAAGGAAGCAACCGCCAAAGATGAAGAGAGACAGACCCAGAAGGATGCAGGCGGAAGGAGAACCAGAGAGAAGAGGGGCTTGGAGAGGTGACAGAGGCAGGCGGGCAGGCGCACACACCCCACCCCCAGGGCAGTAAGGCAGGGCGAGGAGGCCCAGTCATCCGGGCCACCCGCACCTGCCTTCCACCTGATGCTCTGACCCAATCTGCCTCTGACCCAAACCACCGCAGCTGCCGCCGCCGCCACCCCCAGCTGGCACCCAGAGCCCTAGTCCCAGAGCCTGTGAGTCGGGGAGGGAAGGGAAGACCCTCTTGCAGGGGCCTGCGCTCCCACAGCGGGCCAGGCCTCCTCTGCCTCCGCGCCATTTCTCCCTCTGTTCTGTCCTTCCTGGCTTGGGCGGGTGCTCTCTGCTTCTCTGTCTCTCCTACTGGCTGCCCTGCCCCCAACTTCAGTGACCTCCGATCCCTGCTTTGATAGCTGAATCCAGCCCTCCACCCCACCCCCCTGCAGGCCAGGGCAGCTAAGGGCACTGGCTCTTCCCCGGACCAGCCCCACCCAGTTCCATCTGTCTGTCCTTCAAAGGGGCAGGGATTCAGAAGGACAGGGCCGGAGCACTGTCCTTAGTAGGCTGAGCCCCCTACTGCACACCCTGGCAGCTCTCAAAGGGCCTATAGCACCCCGGGGTGGATGCGGAATGGCCCTGGGGTGTGCTGGCTAGGTCTCAGGTGGGCAAGAAGGAAAACATTCTCCCAGATGCATCTCACAGGTACCATGGCTGACTTAAAACAGGGCCAGCCAAACCCTTGCCCCAGCTAAAGACCCTCCCAGCATCAGCCACATCCTTCACGGCTACGGCTACAGAGAAGCTTTTAGCTGAGATCGGCCCCTCCAAGGCCACCTTGATACCAGATTTTTTTTTTTTAAAGCTTTGGAGGCTGGGACATGGTGAGAACTTGGGCATTCCTCCAACCCTGTTGTTTGTCCCTGGGGAGAGCCAGAGCAGGCAGGGGAGGGAGGAGAGGGCATGAGCCAGTCCCTCCCCAGTCTCCCCATAAAGTGATTGGGCCCCTTGTTCCTTCTTGTTCCCAGAAGAACGTGGGGCCTGCCCTTCCCCTCTCCAGGTCATGATGATTCTTCAGTTAATCATGCTTGCTCTGGTGACAGGTATGATGGGGGATGCGGGAGGGCAAAGGCCTCCCTCTCTGGTCTCTAGGGTCCCTCAACCCTCTATGTCTGGATGGTGACGGAGCCAATGCTGAAGATACAGAATAACCCACCAGGCATCCAAATGGGTATAGGAGCCATAGTAAGGTCCTGAATGCCCCTCGCTGGGCCAAGCATAATCCCTTTAGATGCTAGAATGGGGAGAGGTCAAGGAGGGTCTCAAGGGAGGGGCTGGGGCAACTGTTGTGTGGCAGAAGACAGCACAGAACAGTAGTTATTGACCAACCAGCAGCGAAGGATTTCAGGCATTTAATACCTGGTCCATCCAGACGATGCATTTCAGCGGGACACCAGGCTGGGACCCAGGCCACCCACCCCTTCTCTGTTCTCCCCACCCCCACTTCTGGGAGTTGTCTCATGCCTGAGCCCCCTCTTTTGCCCTCACTCCCCTCCAGGGCATGTAGGGGGAGAGACCAGGATCATCAAGGGGTACGAATGCTCTCCTCATTCCCAGCCCTGGCAGGTGGCTCTGTTCCAGAAGACACGGCTGCTCTGTGGGGCAACTCTCATCGCTCCCAAATGGCTCCTCACAGCAGCTCACTGCCGCAAGCCGTGGGTGCGGGGGCTGGGGCGGGCCGGCAGGGGGCTGGAGATGGAGAGATGGATGGAGAGGGGTTTGGGGATGGGGAGGACGTGGTGGGGTCCAAGATGGACATGGATGATGGACACTGAGCCGGGATGGAAGGACGGAAGGCATCGGACCTGGGATGGTGCTGGGAGGGGGGTTGGGTGCTGGGATGGGGATATGGTTGGGAAGGAGGCTTCCGTGGGAAGTGGGAATGAATGAGGTCAGAAGGGGAGATATGTTGCTTTGTTCTCTCAGGTGCTCTCATCCCTTCCCTCTCCGCCATGTCTCTCCCCTCCTCCCCTCTCCTGCCTCTCCCCTGCCTTCCATCTCTGACCGCCATCTCTCCCACCTCAGCCGATATGTAGTTCATCTGGGGGAACACAATCTCCAGCGGCGGGATGGCTGTGAGCAGACCCGAACGGCCACCGAGTCCTTCCCCCACCCAGACTTCAACAACAGCCTCCCCAACAAAGACCACCGCAATGACATCATGCTGGTGAAGATGGCAACCGCAGCCTTCATCACTGGGGCCGTGCGACCGCTCACCCTGTCGTCGCGCTGTGTCACTGCAGGCACCCGCTGCCTCATTTCTGGCTGGGGCACCACGTCCAGCCCCCAGTGTAGGGGCTCCGGAGGGGGACATGGAGGGGAGGGATGGGTGATCCTGATTGTGGAAGGACAGAGGGAACCAGAGGAGCCTTCAGAGGGGAGATTCCCAGAGTACAAGAGTACGAGAGGGGGCTTCCTGGGGGTGTCAGTGGAGGGATAAGTCAAAAAGAAGAGGGAAAGCGTAAGAGCCAGGTAGGGTAGAGACTAAAGTCTTAGCCTGGGGGTCAGACAGACATGATGTGCCATACATGTGCTCACTGTAGGACCTCAGGCACGTGGCTTTGCATCTGAACCCTGGTTTTCTTCTCTGTAAAATGAGGATGATCTCACCCACCTACCAGGGCTGGATCAGAGATAGTGTATATAGAACGACTGCCATAATACATTTACTCGCTAGCATTACCCGTGCTGTTGCTAGGAGCACAGAGATGAGTTGGGTGTGAGCAAGAAGGACGGGGACTGGCTGTAGTGTGTGGGCAGAGCAGGCACTGCAGCGTGGGGAACGGGGCCAGGGTCCCTCATTTTCCACATCCGTTCATGCCGTTTCCACAGTGCACTTGCCCCATACGTTACGATGCGCCAACATCACCATCATTAAGCACGAGGAGTGTGAGAAGGCCTACCCCGGCAACATTACAGACACCATGGTGTGTGCCAGTGTTCGGGAAGAGGGCAAGGACTCCTGCCAGGTCAGGGGACAGGGCCTGGGTCTCCAGCCGCATCCCCATTCCTGTCTCCTACCTCAAACATCTCTTCATCTGCAGCCACAACCTCATTCCCAACCCTGACCCTGTCTCACCCTGCCACCCCAACCCCATGTCCACCCCTAGTTCCCATTCCTAACCTCCACGGGATCCCCAGCTCCATCCCCATTCCCACCCTTATTTCTAGCCCCAACATCCCCCAATCAACCCTAACCCCATCTTTATTGCCACCCATACTTCAGCCTCATCCCCCAGCATCTCGTGAACCCCATCCTCAATCTCCACCCCACTCCTAACACCATCCCTACAACATCCCAGCAACCCCTCCTCCCTACCACAATGCCCAACCCTGTCCCCCTCCCATGGCCAAGCCACTTTTCTGACCGGTTGTCTCTCTCTCCATACCTAGGGTGACTCTGGGGGACCTCTGGTGTGTGATGGGTCTCTTCAAGGCATTATCTCCTGGGGCCAGGATCCGTGTGCTGTCACCAGAAAGCCTGGTGTCTATACAAAGGTCTGCAAATATGTAGACTGGATCCGGAAGACTATGGATAATAACTAGCCAGGACCAGCCCAACACCCCCAATCTCTACTTGGTGTTGTGACTCTTACTCATTCTGTTAATAGTCAAGCCTGAGCGAGGATGCTTTTATGTATTTTCTTTTCAGCCTCCTGAACAATGAGAGAGTCTGTAGCTTAATAATCTGCTTGGGGTTTGGAATCAGTGAGGCCTGGGTTCAAATCTTGTCTTGTATTAATTTGTGATTCTGGAAGAGATAAAAGTTGTTTCGTTCACTGTTGTATCCTTGAGCCCCAAAGACAGCTTCTGGCACGCACCAAGGTTTCAATAAATACTTGCTGAACAAACGAATCTTTGGAGTGCTTTATATGCCAGACCCTGATCTAAGGGCTTTTAAACATATCAACTAACTTAATCTTCACAAGATTCAGTGCCATTATTATGCCCATTTTGCAGATGAGGAAACTGAACACAGAGAAACTAGCCACTTGCTCAGTCACACAGCCAGTAAGGAGAAAAGCAAGGAATCTAAAGCAATGTCTCCTTTTTTCATTCTTTTCTTTTCTTTCTTTCTTCCTTTTCTTTTTTCTTTTTATTTTTTTAAAGATTTTATTTACTTATTTGACAGAGAGAGATCACAAGTAGGCAGAGCAGCAGGGAGAGAGAGAGGGGGAAGCAGGCTCCCTGTTGAGCAGAGAGCCGGATGTGGGGCTTGATCCTTGGACCCTGGGATCATGACCTGAGCCAAAGGCAGAGGCTTAACCCACTGAGCCACACAGGCACCCCAACTTTTTTCTTTTTTTTAAAGCAAAATGATTTCTTAACTACCAAGCTAAACTGCCTTGACTGAGGCTCAGTTTTCTTATCTGTAAAATTGTGCACTTAAAGGAATGATAGCACAGTAGGTAAGTCAGCCTGCCCATAATTAAGAAAAGGAGCTCCCAACTGTTTTTCTTTCCAACCTCCAGGCGAGGTAATTTCCCCAGACTTGTGCTGGTCTGTAGGACAGCCACTAACCACGTGGGGCCTTCTAAATTAAAATAACCTAAAATGAGAAAAGGAGTTCTTTGGTCACGCTCGCCACATATCAGATGCTCTGTAGCCACATCTGACTGCTGTACTGAATAGCTCATAGAGGGCACTTGCCCTGTTGTAGAGAGTTCACCTGGATAGCACAGAGCTGGACAACCTCTGCAGTTAACTCAGTTCCCACTGGAGAAGATGCCCCACAACTAGTCCAGAGCTCAGGATCTTTTTTTGACGCCCTGCTCGCCTTTCAGGGAAGGTTGCTGCCATGAGGAGTAAGAGCCCGGAGCTGGAACTGGGGCCTCCTGGTTGTTAGGTAGACTTGCTGTGTGACCTTCTGTGAGTCACTGCCTTCTCTGAGCCTCAGTTCCTCACCTGAAAGGAGGGAGTTGGTCCAGGTGATACTGACGCACCTCTGTGGCCTTGGCCTCCTGTGATTCACGGGCCCGTGTGTCATATGAAGGCACACTGATGGCAGGAAGGATCTGATGGGACCACACTTGGGTGTGATCTGCTGCCCTCCCCCCCTCAACCCGCCCCCTGCAGGAGAAGGAAGAGGGGTGCTAGTCACTGGGACCCACAGTGAGCCCACTGCTCAGGGCTCAGCACAGAGCTCCACACCGGCTCTGGGGCTCTGCCTCCCTCTCTGCTCCCCTTCCATCTCTGTGATTTCTTCCTCTCCTCTTCCTCCTCCTCCTCCTTCTTCTTCTTTTTAAAGATTTTATTTATTTATTTGACAGACAGAGATCACAAGTAGGCAGAGAGGCAGGCAGAGAGAGAGAGGAGGAAGCAGACTCCCCACTGAACAGAAAGTTCGATGTGGGGCTCGATCCCAGAGGGGCTTGATCCCAGCCTAGGATCATGACCTGAGCCGAAGGCAGAGGTTTTAACCCACTGAGCTCCCCAGGTGCCCCTATGTGATTTCTTCTTTTCCTTGTCTCTGTGTGTCTCAGTCTTTAAGTCTTCTATCCTATCCTTCCATCTGTCTTATCTCTGGCCTCCCTCTCTCCTAGCGGGCATTCTGCTTTTCTCAGTCATTAGGTAGGCATTTCCTTGTTTATTTTCCTCTCTCTTGGTGGTAATCACCTCTCTCCAATGCTATCTCTGAGACCCTGAGGCTACCCAGGGACAAGGCATCCTCTCTCCCCACCTGAGAAGGCATTTTGGAACAGGAGACCTGGGGAATCCCCATGCGGTCTAGCTCCAAAAAGGGTGTTTGGGGCTCTAGAAGAAGCCTGTATTCCCGGGGCCCCTCCCAGAGCAGGAATCTGGGGCCCAGGTTGGGTGCCAGTCCCACCCATGGTATAATTAGGGAGAGGGAAAGGAGGGAGTGAATCCCTGGGGGGAGGGTGGGGAAATTTCCGGGCTCTTTGAGGTTAAAAGGGAAGGCCAGGCCAGGGGTCCCAGGCCACAGGATTTCAGCAGCCCACTCGGCAGGGCAGAGCCACTTCTGAGTCTCCTCCTTCCTTCCCAGCATCGACTCCCAGGTGAGGTGGGATGCACCTCACCTTAGTAGGGGCGTGTTGTGAGAGCATGGGTGGGGACCTTCGGGTCGCGGGCAGCCCTGGTTGAGCCTCAGTTTCCCTATCTATGGCATGCGCCTCTGAACCTCGGACCCCCGTCCACCTGTGAAGGAGGGCGAACCCCAAAGGCTGCTGGGCAGACAGTCCGGGAAAGCTCGGGCTGGGACCTCGCTCCCCCTTCGGTCATAGGGAGGTCAGGAGGACGCCACAAGAGGCGTCATTAGGGTAATTGTGCCCGTATTGGGTGTTCCGGGCCCCAATCGCCTGTCGGTCGGTCCGCCCCTGAGGTTGTGGGCCGACGTTTTCAGCGGGTCCGTGCGGGCTGGCTTGGCCCAGGTCGGGCAGATGGGCGAGGTGGGGTGGGCGTGGGGGTGTCTCTGACGCGGTATCTGTTTTAATTCGTCCTGGCCCCCCAGTCTCAGTCCTGGCCATGGGACTCCCGCACGGCCACCTGTGCACCGCCTCTAGCGCCCGGGCCCTGTCGAGGCTGCTGCTGCCGCTGCTCGTGACGCAACTGTGGGGTGAGGCGGGGAACAGGGCTTGGCGGAGGTCCCCGGGAGAGTGTGCTCTCATCACCAGCCCCCGCGCACCGCGCCTCCTCTGGGGACCCCAGCACCCACCCGCGGATCCAGAGGAGGCTCGGGCCTAATTCCGCCCTGCCCCTCTCCGAGCTCCTCACCAGGGGATCCCGACCCCAGCACTCAGCCTGGATCCCGACTCCTTTCTCCCAGCGGCTTACTTTCCCAGCCCCTTACTAACCCCCGCCCCTCTCTCAGTCCCATTCTGTCCCCGCCCCTTCTTACTCCTCCCGTTTCTCTCCAGTCTTGCCCTACTGCTCTGCCCTCGCCCCTCTCTCTCTCCACCTGCTGCGCACATCCCGCCCCTGCTCCGCAAGCTCCGTCGCGTTCTGTCGTCGCCCCCTGGTGGCCCCGTCGCGTTCCATTCCCGCTCTGCTCCGGGCGCTGCCCTCTGTCCCTGTCCCTGTCCCTCCAGACCCACCCAGTTCGCTCTCCTAGCCCTAGTCCGCTCTAATCCTGCCTCCTTCCCCTTTCCCGCTGTTCTTCTCCTGCCACTTCCATTCGGTTCCCTCAGGACCCCCAATTTGCAAGCCCCCAGCTTCCTTGGTTTTGGCTGCGGGGCCCCCCAGCTCCGGCCCTAAACCCAGCCCTTGTCCTGCTCTGATCTCCACCCCTTTTCTTTCTCCAGCCGCGGAGGCGGTGCTGCTCCCCAGAAACGACACCGGCGTGGACCTTGTGGCCTCCGGCGCTCCTTGCGCACGCGGTTCGCAGCCCTGGCAGGTCTCCCTCTTCAGTGGCCTCTCGTTCCACTGCGCGGGCGTCCTGGTGGACAAGAGTTGGGTGCTCACAGCCGCGCACTGCCGGAACAACAAGTAAGGGGAGATCCTCGGGGCAGCCACTGAGGGGCTGTGGAGCAGGTCCCTGGGAGGAGGCGGGAAGGGCTGGGGCACTTGAGTCCATGTGCGAGTCAGTGCTGGAGGACTTCCCGTAGGAGGAGAGGTGGGGTAGCGCTGTGGCCGCCAGGGGGCGGTGTGGTCCTTCTGAGCGTTTCTGGGCCTTCGGCCACCCCTGTCTTGCTGAAACTCCTTGGGTTCTGTTGAAGTGTAGATAGTTGTACGCCACAGACAGAAGTCAGGATCTGGTGTGGTTAGTAATTTCCAACTAAGGAAATTGTTCACCTTATGAGCTGCCACTGATGGAGGAAGGAAGAGAGGCTTACCCCAGCACTCAATTCTTGCGGAGCTCAGAGACCCAAATGCCTAATCATTCTCTGTTTCCCAAGAATTCAAGCCTCCAGCTCCACCCCCACCCCCCACCTCCTCCCTCAGACCCAGGAGTCCTCACCCTCAAACCCCTCCTCCCTTGGACCCCAGAGTCCAGACTCCTACCCTGCTACTAGTACCCTCCTTCCCAGGGACTCAGAGTCTGGTCCCAGTCCCTAACGAGGCTTTGCCCTCATATATCTCTTCCCTCCCTAGTCCTCTATGGGCTCGCATTGGGGACGACCACCTGCTCCTCCTCCAGGGCGAGCAGCTCCGCCGGACCACTCGCCACGTCATCCACCCCAAGTTCCACCAGGTCTCAGGCCCCATCCTGCCGAGGCGGACAGACGAGCATGACCTCATGCTGCTGAAGCTGGCCAGGCCCGCTGTGCTGGGGCCTCGCATCCAGACCCTGCGCCTGCCCTACCGCTGTGCCCAGCCCGGAGACGAGTGCCAGGTCGCTGGCTGGGGTACCACGGCTACCCGAAGAGGCAAGAGCGGGGGTCCCTGAGGCCTGTATCCCGGGGAATACCTTGAGGGCCAGGACGATGGGTCTGAGGGAGGAGGGGGTTGGGGGCGTGGACTCCTGGGTCCTGGAGGATTAAGGGCTGGCTGCCGGCTTACCTACTGTTTCCTCCCATCAGTGAAGTACAACAAGGGCCTGAGTTGCTCCAGGGTCACTGTCCTGAGCTCTAAAGAGTGCGAGGTCTTCTACCCTGGTGTTGTCACCAACAACATGATGTGTGCAGGACTGGACCAGGGTCAGGACCCCTGCCAGGTAGGGACTGGCTGGGGCGGGTCTCTGATGCATGGGAGCTAGGATAGGGAAGTTATGAGAAATCAGAAGGCCCCATCGCTGTCCCCAACCCCAGCCCAGAGTCATCCCTGTGTCCAACACTATCCCACCCCTACCCCAACTTCATTCCCATCTCTGACTCTATCTGCTCCGCTCACCTGTTTGTGCCTGGCCCTACCCACTTCCCACCCCATCCTCAACTGCATTTCCACCTTCTGGCTATTCCTAAACCCCGACCCCATCCCTACCTCTCCATCTGTCTTCATCCCCTCACCTGCCACAAGCTGTGATCCCAGCAGCAATGCGTTTACATTCTCATCCCCTGTCCGATATCCATGGCCACCAGTCCAGCCCCATCCCAACCCAGCTCATACTTAATTCCAACCCCACCCCAAGCTCATCTTTACCCAAACGTAACTCCAACCCTGCCCAAACCCCTTCCTTCCCTATCACTATCCCAGACCCTCAAGTGACAGCCCTTGAATCGCTGTATTTATTGGATCTCTCCCCCCACCCCCCAGAGTGACTCCGGTGGCCCTCTGGTCTGTGACCAGACCCTGCAGGGCATCCTTTCATGGGGTGTTTACCCCTGCGGCTCAGCTCAGCATCCAGCGGTCTACACCCAGATCTGCAAATACAGCTCCTGGATAGAGAAAACCATACACTCCAACTGACCCAGAGGCCCTGCCACTCCACCAGCTGCCGTCTTGCTCCTTCCTTCATAGTTGCGGGGGCTGAATTCTCCCCCTGTTCTGTTCGAACCTCCACTGCCCAACACCTGCTAACATCTCTCCTCATCTTCCCCTGCCTACTGCTGCTCTTTCCACACTTTGAAGCCAAAGTGTCAATAGAGGTGGTCAAGTTTAATTCAAGAGAAGCAAGGAAGCTGGTGGTCACCCAGCATCTGAGAGAAGTTGTCACTCACTCAGCTTGCCTCCCTCTGCTAATCCCTGCTGTGTGACCTCGGGCAAGCAGAGTAACCTGTCTGGGCCTCTGTTTCTTCATCTGGAAGATGGGGACAATGGAGTGCCTGCCTCGGAGTCATTGTGAAGAGACGATCATACAACATGACCATACAACACGAGTGCATAGGTTGCTATGGTAACTGTTAGTAAAGCATTAACATAGGGGGTGGCAAGCCCTGACTGAATGTTCCCTGTTGTCATGATCTGTGAGCAGGTCCTGGTGAGGATGAACGTATGTAACTTCGTGTCCTGGGGAGAAAAGCACAGAAGTAGCACCCCCGTCCCAAGACCCCAAGCCCCATCCTCCACATCCCCATCCCTCAGGGCTGATGGGAGAATCACACTCCCCACCCTCCCCTCAAGGTCTATGAGGGGACCTTAACCACTTAACCTTAACCACTTCCTTCCTCCCTCCCACTGTTCCCCACGTCTGGGTCCACCCAGCACCAGTTCCTCCTGTCCCAGCAGGAGCTGGGCCACCTCTGAGTCATCTAATCCCTTCACTGCCTTCCTGGGGCCACTAGAACCCAAGGGACCTCACCACAGATCCACCTCAGCCTCCAAGACCAGAGGAACCCGCCCCGCCTTAGTTGCTAAGTTCAAGGAAAGAAGTCCTCTGAGATTTAGGGGAAGTTTTTTGTTGAGATCCCTCTCCATTCTCTCACCAATCACAAGCCCCAGTCCCAGCTCCACCATATCCCCATTCTCCTCTGAGCCCCTCACAACCCCCAGTCCACCGCCATCCCCCCCCCATCCCAAATTGGCTTGGAAATTTCGCCCTGGAAATATGGAAGGAGAAGGGTTCTTTACCTTTCGCAGAAAGTGTCTCCATGTAAATATTCCTACGCTGGGGGTGTATTCTACACAGAATCCAGGCAGAGCTAACCAATGTTTGGGAACCTCCACTTAGCCTGGACTCTGGAGACGTAACATCAGCTGAACATATGCACAACAGAGATGTTCCACTTCTGAGCACCTATTATATGGCAGGGGGGGATGCTGGGCACTGAGAACATAGTGGTGACCACCACCACGAGGTCTTTGCCCCTACAGAGCCCACGGAAGACTGGCACATAGTCTCCAGCTCCCTTCCTCTGCCCCCATTAGCACACCCAGGAAACGCCAATCAGACGTATCAGCTAGGTTTGTCATGCAACACTCGAAGAGGTGGGAACTGGGTTCATTTTTAAAGGCACATCACCCATCCCTTTAATCATCATACTACAGGTGTTTACTGAGCTGTGTCCTACTCTAGGTCCTGGAGATGAATCAGTTCAAGTTCTACCCTCAAGGAGCTGCTAGTCAGGTCAGGGAGACAGGCAAGGCTTCCATTCTTGTCATTCAGGTTTCTACGCAAATGTCACCTCCTCAGGCCTTCCAGGATTGCCCTGGCTAAAGGGGTCCCCTGCGTCACCAGGAAAACAGTCCATTGCTGGGCTTATTTCTTTTGCAGCACTTGTTAGAACTGGAATGACCTCGTTTGTGTGTTCACTGCATAATGGTTTGCCACCTGTCTCTCCCGACTCAGTCCATGAAAGCAGGGACACTGATTTATTCACTAGTGATTTTTCTTTTTTTAAAAAATTATTTAAATCATTTACTTGTCAGAGAGAGAGAGAGAGAGAGAGCACAAGCAGGGGGAGCGGCAGACAGAGGAAGAAGCAGGCTCCGCCAAGCAAGGAGCCAGACATGGGGCTCAATCCCAGGACCCTGAGATCACAACCCGAGCTGAAGGCAGAAGCTTAACTGACGGAGCCACCCAGGCGCCCCACTAGTGATTGTTCTTTAAGTACCTGGTACAGTGCCTGGCACACGGAAGCAACTCAATGCATCGATGGATTAACAACACAAATTGATCATTGCTAGAAGGAGGCATGGGGTGCCCTAAGGAGAGGCCATGGACTCTTTCTGAAGGACTCAGGGAAGACTTCTCAGATCAGGGGACATTTGCATGGGGTTTAAAAGGATAAGTAGGAGTGTACTGGGTAGAGAAGGAAATGTATTTCTGTCACTTACTTTGTGACCTTGAGAAAATTACTGGAATGTTCTCTTGATCTCAGTTTTCCCCTCTGTGGAATAGGGTTGAAGAGTGAGAATTAAATGAGATAGTATACATGAAACCTGCCAGGTACAGAGTACGGTCAATAAATGTAGCTATTGGGGCACCTGGGTGGCTCAATGGGTTAAGCCTCTACCTTCCGCCCAGGTCATGATCTCAGGGTTCTGGGATCGAGCCCCGCATGGGGCTCTCTGCTCAGCAGGGAGCCTGCTTCCCCCTCTCTCTCTGCCTGCCTCTCTGCCTACTTGTGATCTTTCTTTCTGTCAATTAAAAAAATAAAATCTTTAAGAAAAAATAAATGTAGCTATCAAGGGTCACCTCGGTGGCTCAGTGGGTTGGGCATCGGACTCTTGGTCTCAGTTCAGGTCTTGCTCTCAGAGTCCTGAGTTTGAGCCCGGTGTTGGGCTCCATGCTGGATATGGAGCCTACTTTAAAAAAATAAATAAATAATTTTTTTAAAAAAGGTAGCTATGGAGATGTTATCAGAAGTGGTCAGTATGACACACAGTGTCTCTTCAGTTTCAGTCTCTACTTTCCATCCCTGTCCAGAGAGAGAACAAGACGCTGTATAACCACGAGTGATGTGTATTGTAATTGAGGCAGTGCAGGGCTCTAGAGGAGAGGGATAGACTTAACACATGTGTTGAATGCCGGCTATGTGCTGGGCGCTGTTGTAAGTACTGCATGTGGGTTAATTCACTTAATCACCCCCCCCAACCTGGTTACTATTACTTCTTAATATATAGGCCAACTGAGAGAGGTCCAGTGACTTGCCCAAAGTCACACACTTCGTAATGGCCAGCACTGAGATCTGGACCCAGGTGGTCCAGTTTCAGAGTCCATGCTCTAAACCAAGTGACACATTCCAGGGGAGCCCAGACCCAGAGTGATAATCAGGTTTACAGCAATAGAAAGTGGAGGAGCCTGTGAGTGTCCAGGGGAGGAAAAGATGCATTCTTCCTTGAGAAATCAGAAGAGACCTCCTGGAGGAGGGTGCATTTAGGTTGAATCTTGAAGGACGAGTAGGAGTGTACCAGGAAAAGAATATGGAGAAAGACATTCACTCATTTAATTAACATCTCCTGAGGCCTCCTGAGAGCTCAGCCCCAAATGGGTGATCTGGGGACATAGAGTTGAATCATATCTGGGCTTGGCCCTGCAGGTCTGCCTACCTGATGAGGAGGAGGGATGGGGAGAGAGGCAGGTGGGATGGACTGATGGGGACAGTGGAGGGGAGGAGATGAAAAAAAGAGGGCAATGTTCTCAGAACTTGGCCCAGATCTGGTGGTGTTAAGAAAAAAGGAAAGTGCTTAGTTCCAGGCAGGCTGGGCACGTGGGTCTTGCTGATAAGGTTATGAAGAAAGGCGTAGGGTAGTTTATGACAAGAGTGAGTCAATCCAGTTGGGACCATATTTCCTCAACCTTCTAGGAGAGGCCTTTTTCCTTGCAGGAAGGGGCCCAAATGCCCAGAACAGGGAGGGCTCTGTAGGGGGTGCACCCATGCGTGGCTTCTTGTGGTCTCTGGCTTGCTCAGTCTGTGTCTTTCCCTCTCTCTCCTTCCCTCACCCTGAATCCTTCTGTACCTCTGTCCTTCTCTCTTTTCTTAATTTGCTCTCTTTCCCTGTCTTGCCCAATACGGCCTGCCTTCCTACTGAGTCTCTGTTCTTTCTCCCAATCCTCACCTGCTTTTGTGTGGGTGGGGGGGGAAGGGGGTCCTCCTACGTATCCCTCCAGCCTGCCCCAGGCACTGGTCCTAGCTCACCACAGCTTCATTCAAGATAAATCTGCTTCCATTTCAGGACCCAGCCTTAGGGATCACCTTTCTCTCCCTCTTCCTTCCTTCCTTCCTTGTTTTTTTTTTTTTTAATTTTATTCATTTATTTGGCAGACAGAGATCACAAGCAGGCAGAGAGGTAGGCAGAGAGAGAGGGGGAAGCAGAGAGCCCGACGAGGGGCTCAATCCCAGGACCCTGAGATCATGACCTGAGCCGAAGGCAGAGGCTTAACCCACTGAGCCACCCAGGCACCCCTCTCTCCGTCTTCCTCTTCCAGACCCCAGAATATCCTGCATCCAGGTCCTGAATCCTGACATCATGGGAATGAGGGTTCCCCTCTCTGGAGATCTCAGGAAGACTCCACATCCCAGGGCTCCTCCCTCATTCAGCTCATCCCTGGCCCAGCAGGCCACCAGCTCATCTGGCTGGTGTGGGGGGGGGGGGATTCTCCTGCATTGCCTCCATTTCCAAGGCCCCCAGTCAAGGCCCCAGGGCTTCCCCCTTCTCCTGGGACGTTTCCCAACCCCGATTAATCACCAGGGCGGCCCCAGAGAGGAGGAAGGAGATGGCATGGCTTACCTTCAAGAAGCACGGCTGGCAGCCTGAACACATGCTCAAGACCCAGGCGCCCCAAGGTCATGAGGCTGGGATTCGTCTGTGCTCTGTTTTCTCTCCTGGCAGGTGAGGCTCCAGCCGTCCATCCTGCTGCCTCTCCATGGTCCCGGTACCCCCACCAGCCAGCTTGCCCTTGACCTGCCAGACTTCAGGTCCTTCCTGGTGAGGCATCTAGCAGGTCTCCCCCAGCCCTCTTACCATGCTTGTCATTGACCCCTTTGCCTCCACCCCACCCCAGGGCATGGCTGGGCAGACACCCGAGCCATCGGGGCTGAGGAATGCCGCCCCAACTCGCAGCCCTGGCAGGCCGGGCTCTTCTACCTCACCCACCTGTTCTGCGGGGCTTCCCTCATCAGTGACCGCTGGCTGCTCACAGCTGCCCACTGCCACAAGCCGTGAGTGACCAGGGCACCACTGGGGTGAGGGAGAGGGGCAGTGCTGAAGGTAAGGGAGGGGTGGGGGGGGCAAGGGGCCTTCAGTAGAGGAGGGAGGGAACTGTGGTTGGGAAGGATTTGGCCTTCATTTCTGTTTCCAAAAGTTCAACTCTTAGAATTAGAGTTGACCCTCCAAATTCCAGAGTCCCAAATAATCTGATTATTAGAGTCTAAAATTCAAAACTCTTAGAAACCTAGGCTCAGACCCAGAAAAATCCAGTCATGAACTCCTAAAATCTCAGATCTGTGAGATTCAACATCAGTTTCAGTGAATTCTGGGATTGAGACTCAGACTGGTCTTAGGAGTCTAGAGCAGGGCAGCTCTGTGGGTATATATCTCCAGCCACATAGTTAAGTTTAAATTTTCTTTTTTTTTTAAGATTTTATTTATTTATTTGAGACAGCAGAGTGATGGGGAGAGAGAGAATGTGTGTGTGCACGAGTTGGGGGAGGGCAGAGGTAGAAGCAGACTCCCAACCCAAGCAGGGAACCCTGGGCAATCCCAGGACCCTGGGATCATGACCTGAGCCAAAGGCAGACACTTAACCCAGTGAGCCACCCAGACGCCCCAAGTTTAAATTTTCTAATAGACATATTACAATAGTTTAAAAAAAAAGGATTAACATTAATTTTAATAATAGATTTAATTTGACACACTCAAACCATTATTTTATTTTCTTTTAATTTTTTAAATTTAAATCCAGTTAGCCAACATATAGTACATCATTCGTTTTTGATGTAATGTTCAATGATCATTGGTTGCATATAACGCCCAGTGCTCACCAGCTCATGTGCCCTCTTTAATGCCCATCACCCAGTTACCCCTCCCCCAACTCCCTCCCTCGTTTCCATAACCCTCAGTCTGTTTCCCAGAGTCAAGAGTCTGTCATGGTCAAACCATTATTTTAATATGCAATCCATTTTTAAATACTTATGAATGATATAGATCAGTCTTTTTGTTTACTACTACACTTCCGAAATCAGATGTGCATTTTACACATATGGCATGTCTCAGTTTGGACTCGTCACATGTCAAATACTCAATAGTTGTATGGGAGAGCACAACCCTAGAATCTTAGGCTCGGTATCCTAGCTAGGTCCGTTGAATATAGAAGCTCATGGTCCTAGAATTTTTGATTCACAGTATCCTAGAATACTGTCACTTGCAGAATTCTAGAATCTTGAATCAATAGAATTCTAGAAGTTTATATGCATAAATGTCTTGAATCTGGTGAATTAAACAAATCTTAGAATCTTAAATCTTAGAAAGCTATCATTCCAGATTCTTAAAATCCCTAAAATTTAAATTGAGAGAATTCTAGAGTCTCAAACTATTTGAACCCAGTTTCTTGAATTTCCAAAATCATAGAATTACAGAATTCTAGGGATAGTTGAGCGGCTCAGTTGATTGAGCATCTGCCTTTGGCTCAGGTCATGATTCTGGGGTCCTGGGATCGAGTCCCGTGTCAGGGTCCTTGCTAGACAGGGAGCCTGCTTCTCCCTCTGCCTGTCGCTCTCCCTCTCTCCCTCTCTCTCTCTGACAAATAAATGAATAAATAAAATCTTTAATAAATACATTTTTAAAAAGAACTATAGAATTCTAGATTGATGAAGTCCATTTTATAGTCCCAGAATACTAGAATTCCAGGCTCTTTAGGTCCTTGATTTCATTCAGATAATTTTAAAACCAGGCTTTTGACCTAGAGAAATCTAGAATGTTAGAATATTGGATTTATACCTGCCTCCTTAGTGCAGTAGGCAGCGCATCAGTCTCATAGAATGTTGGATTCATAACATTCTAGGACATAGAATTCTAGAATCGTGGATTCCTAGGGTGTTAGAATCTTAGAATCTACCTGATGCAGAAATCCTGAATTTCTATATTACCTCTGGAAAGGGGTAGCCCATCTTGCTGTGATGTTTTTCCCTCCAGGGATGAAGCCCAGAATGCTGTGTGGGAATTTCCCATCATGCATTGCTCCATGACAGGACCTCTTTCAGCTTAGGTCTGTACAGAAGGCTAGAATACTCAGATTTCAGCTCCAAAGACTAAGGAGAGAAGCAGAGATATAGAGGTAGAAAAGATTCAGGCTTGAGAACAAGTTGGGGAAGACTGTTTTCCAGATATGGAGCCCAGGCAATGAGGAGACAGAGATAGAAATAATGTCTCATACTCTTCAAATCCTGAATTCTTAGTCATAAGCCTGGTCCCTAAGGTCAGAGGTCAGAAGCTAAGGAATGGACATGCACATCCCCAGAGAGCCCCCAGCTGTCCAGGGCAGGGACCCAGAGCAGAACAAGTGGACTGAGAGCTTGAGTCGGGTCTCAGGAAGACATGCATTGAGGGTGAGGGATATGGCTGACAAGAAAAGCCTGAGGCCATGGATGACCCCAAACTTGGGGATTTTCCATTTCTCATCCCCCTCCATGCACACACAAACATACACACACACACACACAGAGCCACTCCCCACAGAAGCCACCAGACCTGTAGGGGTGGGGGGTGGGGCTGTTCTTGTGTGGTAGGTGGAGCCCCCATGTGCTTGCATCGTTCCAGGGGACCCAGGTCACCATCAAGGCTCCAGGTGGAGCAGGAAGGAAGGTGGTTTACTTAGTATGGGACTAGGAAGGGGTGTGAGCCTTTAGGAGAAAGCTACAAAGGTAGAGGCACACAAAGCATTGGAGTGAGAAGCTGAAGCCCAGAGAGGGTGTGTGCCTTGCTTAAAATCACACAGCACTCTGGGTCATACAGAAATGACAGGGCCCCAGAGAGAGCGTGTGGCTTGTGGAGCACCTATCACCCTGGTGGACACCCAGCTTGACCTCTGAGGCCTGTCCCAACAGGTATCTGTGGGTCCGCCTTGGGGAGCACCACCTCTGGCAATGGGAGGGTCCAGAGCAACTGTTCCGGGCCACGGACTTCTTCCCCCACCCTGGGTTCAACAAGGACCTCAGGGCTCACGACCACAGTGATGACATCATGCTGATCCGTCTGCCCAGGAAGGCACACCTGGGACCTGCTGTGCAACCCCTCAACCTCAGCCAGACCTGCGTCTCCCCAGGCACCCAGTGCCTCATCTCAGGCTGGGGGGCTGTGTCCAGTCCTAAGGGTACAGCCTTGCCCACAACTCAATCCCTTGTGGATCATGCTGAGGGTCTGAATCCCCCCTATTTCTCTGTCTCTGTCTTTTCATCTGATAGATAGATAGATGGATAGATAGATAGATAAGGAAAAAATCCAAGATGCTATAAGTTACAAGATGCATTATTTACAACCACTAAGAATAGGGGATACAGTTCCCGTGAATCCTTGTATGACTCCATTTGCTGGAAGACACGCCCTGATTTCAGAGATATTTAAATATGAAAATACAGACTTCATAGAATTGAAATGAGGCCTGAGTCTCTCAGAGTCACAAATTAGCCACCCATTAGCCTCACTGAGCCTCCCACATCAGTCCTGGCTTTCAAAATGCCTTGAAAAAATACTTTGAGTTTGAGAGATTTTACATAAAAGCCAAATTTCTGCAGTTACTGGGAAAATCCAAAGAGCTGACAATGCAAGACCCACATTCCCCAAACACGGACCATGGGGCAGAATCAGCGGAGGTTGCCGCCTTCAGACCAGATGTGGGTTTTCTGGGCCGCTACAGTGCCCCCTACTGGCTGCTGTGTCTGCCTGGTCCCCTTCACCCACTTTTTTTTTTTTTTTTAAGATTTTATTTATTTATTTGACAGACAGAGAGGGAGTGAGCACAAGCAGGGGAGCAGCAGGCAGAGGCAAAGGGAGAAGCTCTGCAGGGAGCCCGATGTGGGACTCCATCCTAGGACCCCGGGATCATGATCTGAGTCTAAGGGAGCCGTTTAACTGACTGAGCCACCTAGGTTCCCCCTCTCCACCCATTTCTATTTGCCTGTCAAGCCCACCTGAATCTGTGATCTGTGCCCCTGGATTATACACGTGGGTCTATGCCTATCTGTAACCATCTCTGTTTTCTATATGCTGTTTCTCCCTGTCTGTGTCTCCTATCTCTTAAGTCTTTATTTCTATCTCTGTCAATGACCATGAACGTCTCCTGTCTTTCTCACTGCCCTCTCCCTTGGCATCTCAGGGCCTGTTTCTTTCTCTTTTCTCTTTCTTCATGCTTCCTCTGGGAATCTCTTTCCCCTTAAGAGGTCTATCTGCTGCCATGGTCTCTATTTTTCTCTGTGCGTCATGTATGTATCTCTTCTTGGCTCTTGGCTCTCTGCATCTTTCTGTTTCCCTGTTTCTCTCTTTGGCTCTCCCCCTCTCCTCAACCATCTGTTTCTCTTTCACAGTATGATTCTCTCTGTCACTGTCTCTTGTTTCTATCTTTGAGAGTCTTCTGCTGCAACTCTGTGGGTCCCAGGGTCTGGGTGGAGGGACTGCTGAGTGTGATGGTCACAGCTGTTGATACTATGGGTGGATCTCTTTTGCTAACAGTGCAGTACCCACTGACGCTACAGTGTGCCAACATCAGCATCCTGGATCACAACCTCTGCCGTTGGGCATATCCCGGCCACATCTCGGACAGTATGCTCTGTGCCGGCCTCTGGGAGGGGGGCCGGGGCTCCTGCCAGGTGAGAGCTACTCTGGGAAGGAGCGGAATGGATATTCTGCCGGATTCCTGGGTCCTAGGGAATTACGGAGTTGGGGGCCCCCAGAATTCATGGATGAAAGCACGGAGGGACCCAGGACACTTGGGTTCTGGGAGAGGATGGGACTGGGGCCAGGATTCCTGGAGGCCTGGACTCCAGAATCTAAAGGAGAGGCCTGGGAATACAGACTTTAAGTCCTTCGGGGGAAGAGGGGACTAGGATCCCAGAGTGCTAAGTGTAGGGGTGAGGTGAGGGCTATGAGCTCATACTCCTGGGTCTGAGGCAGGAGGGACTAGTCGCCTAGATGCCTAGAGGCCAAGGTGTCGAGAGAGGAGGACACGGGGCCTCCTGAGAGGAAGTGGCCAGTGTAATATGAATACACCTGCTTAACAGTTTCTTTGCTCTTCTGCCGCTCACAGGGTGACTCTGGGGGCCCCCTGGTTTGCGACGGGACCCTGGCGGGTGTGGTATCTGGGGGTGCCGAGCCCTGCTCCAGACCCTGGCACCCCGCCGTGTACACCAGCGTGTGCCACTACGTGGACTGGATCCGAAAAACCATGGAGGACAACTGAGCCCTCATGCCTTGGGCGATCAAGAGAGGAGGGTGGGCTCAGGGTAGCTGGAAACAGCCGGACTCCGGCCGCAGAGGTCTCAGTGGCCCCGAGACGCCTCGGATCTTGAGGCTCCGAGCCCTCAGGGCCCACCGCGTCGGAAAGCAGCGGGGAGACACAACCGGCCCTGTAGCCCCGCCTCTGTGATGTCACCGGAGCGGGCATCAACCCCGTAGAGCAGCTTCACCTGTGGCTCCGCGCCAGCAGCACCTCCAGCAGACAGCTCCTCCCCTCGGAACTTTGCCCAATGAGACTTCCCCTCTGGGCCCCACCTCTTGTAACCCCGCCTCCTCCGTGGGAGAGCCCGCCCCCGTGACGTCAGGGGCGCTGTAGCTTCCCCTACAAGGCTCCGAGGCGTGGTCGGGCTCCGCCCCTTGTGCCCGCGCCCCTGGGCGTTTGAATCCTGGCGGGGACCCGACTGAGAGAAATTGAGGGAGGGTCTCAATTCATCCAGAGTCAATGGATGATTTTACAATAAACGCCGCGCCTTCCGTCTGCCTGCGTTGTGGGATGAAGGAAAAACAACGGGTGGGCGGCGGTGGGTAGACAGGGAACCGCCACCGTACTGCAACTCCCCCTTTACTCCTCGTAGGTCCTGCCTAAAGTCTGTCTCCATCAGCCTCTATTGCAGCAAGGCCGCTGGGTTCTGCTTGGGCTGGTCCCGTCGCCACCAGGGGAAGGGGAAACCAGGTCACGGTGCCTCCCAAACCTGCCTTCCCAGATCCCGAACTTCTCAGGGGGTAGCGGGCGGGGCCCGATCCGCCCTCAGAAGACTCACCTTTTTTCCACTTCCAGTTAGTGGCAGCAACCCCCTGCTCCCACAAAAGCTCAGGCTCCAAGTCACTCCTAAAAAGACTTAAGAATTTAGCCCCTAACCCCCTTCTTCCTCAGACCAAAAATTCAGGCCTATTCTCCCTCCACCCCAGACGCAAAAGTTCGGGTCCCAACCCCATTCACCGTCGGATTCAGGAGCCCAGAACCCCATTCCTTCCCGTCCCAGGTCCAGGAGTCCAGACCTAACCTCCCTTCCCTCGATTCAGGGCTCTGGACCCCCAGTTTCTCTTCCCCCAGCCCCCTCCTCCAGACCCAGAGTGCAGGTCCCCAGCCCCCCTCTTCTAAAGACCCAGGATTCCGGGTTCCAGCTCCCTACTCCCTCAGACCCAGGAGTTCAGACCCCCCAACCCCTACCTCCCCTGGACCCCAAATTCAGGTCCCCAGCCCCCTCTTCCCTCGGATCCAGCTGTCTGGGTCCCTGGCCCTTTCTGTTTCAAGCCCAGAAGTCACAGCACTGATGTCCTTCTTTCCCAAGCCTGAGGAGTTCCAGATCCTAGCCACCACCCCCCACCTCAATGTTTCCCTTTCAGCCCCTCAGCCCCTCCTCACTCATACACAGGGTTCCAGTTCCCTGATGCTCTGTCGGCTCCAGAGCGGGAGGAGGCGGAGCGGGAGGCGGGGATTCCCAGTTAAAAGCCTCCAGAACCTAGTACCAGGCAGACAGAGCTGAAGTATTGGGGCCTCTTCCTCTGGGTCTGAATCAGTCGGTGACCCCGCCCCCTGGATTCTGCAAGGTGAGATGCCAAAGTTCCTAGACACAGACATCAGGCCCCGGGGACCCCTGCTCCTCCAGGGCTCAGGAACCCCAATCTCAGACCCCGTCTTCCTCAAGGTTTAGGAATCTAGCCCGTGGCACCCTCCTCCCCAAGGCTTAGGAATTTTAACTCCAAGTTCCTTCTTCCTTCAGATCCAGGGGTCTGGGACTCTTAACTCTCCCATTCCTGGGAATGTAGGAATCCAGCCCCCACCACCTTTCCTCAGATTCAGAAACCTGGGGTCTGTCCCTTTTCCCTCAGACCTAAGAAGCTGGATCCCCAGTCCCCTCCACCTGCAGGACCCAGAAGAACGGCTCCAGATGCTCTGCTCCCTTACTTCAAGTTTCTCCTAGGATTTAGGGCTCCTCCCTCCTCATTTCTCAGCCCTGACTTCTCCCTCTGCCAGATCGCACCATGGGACATCCCTCACCTGCTGCGGTCTGGACCTGGATGTTCCTGCTCTTGCTGTTGGAAGCCTGGGCAGGTGAGGGGGCCCTGGCGGGAGCCTGTAGGAATGCCGTGGTAGGTGCTGGTGATGGCATGCGGGGAGATGTGAAACATGCTATCATACGTGGGAACTCCTTTGGGCTTTCCTGGGTGGATGGAGGCATGCACACATGGCAGTGAGCAGGAGTGTGTCAGGTTATGCTGCATATCGCAGGAGCACACCAAGCCAGCAGGGCTGCTTGCTGAGGGGTGCAGATATGCACAGTATACAGGGCGTGCAGACGCATGTGGGAACATGTGGAAGCATGCTCGGGTGTGTGACTCGGTGTGACTCATGGGCATCAATGAGTGAACGTGTGCCTCTGTGTGTGACAGCCTGTGCAAGCTGGGGGCCTCACAGTCCCGGTGTGGACATGTGAGGAGGCAGGTGGAGAACTTGCTCAATGTCCTTTGGAACCCACAGTGGGTTTTCCTGGCCTCTGCCCTGTCCTAGGGGGTGACGATCCAATCCCTCTCCCTCCTGCTGCAGGACACTTGAGGGCACAGGAATCCAAGGTGCTGGGCGGCCAGGAGTGTAAGCCCCATTCTCAGCCTTGGCAGACAGCCTTGTTCCAGGGTATCCGGCTGCTATGCGGGGGTGTCCTCATCGATGACAACTGGGTCCTTACAGCAGCCCACTGTAAAAAACAGTGAGTGGATGCCTGGGGCAGAGGTGGGCTGGGACCTGGGGATAGGGGGAAAGAAGAGAGCTGGAGACTGCGCCTCTGAATGCACAGGGCCAAGGGAGGAGGGGACTGGGGTCCCAGACTCCTGCCTGGGTCCCAAATTACTCTCCACCATTACAGGAAGTACACAGTACGCCTGGGGGATCACAGCCTGAAGAATAAGGACAGATCAGAGCAAGAAATGGCTGTGGCTCAGTCCATCCAACACCCCTGCTACAACGGCAGCAATGAAGACCACAGCCATGATCTCATGCTCATCCGACTACGTGGTCGGGCATCATTGGGGCCCACAGTGAAGCCCATCAGCCTGACGGATCACTGCCCTGAAGTTGGCCAGAAGTGCACCATCTCGGGCTGGGGCACTGTCACCAGCCCCCGAGGTAGTAGGAGGGAGCAGAGGAGCTGGCCAGCCCAGTGGACCTCAAGCCATTGGCAAAGCTTTGCCTCCAGAAGGAGATAGAGAAGGGACAGTGATTGTGTGGTTGAGATGCACAGATGGCCCATGTTGGAAACCTGGAAGGCCAGAATATTAACAGGAGTGGTGGGAGAAAGGAAGCAAAATAACAGATCGTTAAACCAGGTTCCCCAAGAAATGGATGCGTGAATGAGTGGGTAAAGGATGCATGCCTCCTTGGGGCGCCTGCGTGGCTCCATTGGTTCAGTGTCTGACTCTTGATCTCAGTTCAGGTCGATCTCAACAGCCTGACTTCAGGCCTCAACTTGGGCTCCACACTCAGCTTAAAAAAAAAAAAAAAAGAATGCATGCCTCCTTCATGGTGGAGACTACCATGTTCTTTTTCTTTCTTTTTTTTTTTTCCAAGATTTTTTTTATTTATTTGACAGAGAGAGAGATCACAAGTAGGCAGAGAGGCAGGCAGAGAGAGGGGGAAGCAGGCTCACTGCTGAGCAGAAAGCCTGATGTGAGGCTCGATCCCAGGACCCTGAGATCATGACCTGAGCTGAAGGCAGAGGCTTAACCCACTGAGCCACCCAGGCGCCCCCTTTTTCTTTTTTTTAAGATTTTATTTATTTGAGAGACAACAAGAGAGAGAGTATGAGATCAGGGGGAGAAGCAGAGGGAGAGAGAGAAGGAGACTCCTCACTGAGCAGGGATTCCCAACTCAGGGCTCAGTTCCAGAACCCTGGGATCATGGCCTGAGCCGAAAGAAGATGCTTAACCAACTGAGCCACCCAGGCAATCTCATGGATGGAGAGAACCATGTTATGGTTCATAACCATGTTAGGAAATCTTTCCTCGCACAGGATTTTCTATAATCTTCTTAACAGACTTAGGATGTGTGGGCTCCTCAGTGGCCCAAGAAAAAAAGCTCCTAAGCATCTTCTCCCTTTTGAACCCATGATTCCTGGTGCCAGAGACTCTCTTCCTTCACAACCAGAAATCCAGTCCCTTCCCCTCCCAAGACCCAGAGTCTAGGTCTCCAGCCCCCTCCTCACTCTGGACCCAAAGTCTTGACCTCCGTTGAGGTCCTCCTTTTGGGACTTTGGAGTCCAGGAGACCCTCACCCTACTTCACAGTGAGAACTGAGGCTCAGCTCAGAGAGGCATGTGATTCACCAGGAAATCCAGGATTTTCCAAACAAAGACAGGATTCAGATCCCTGCCTGTCGGAATCCTACTTCTAAGGGGACAGTGGGATGCTGTGGAAACCCAACTGCTCATGAATCAGGTCAGTTCAAACCATGGCTCTGCCCTTTCCTCTGGGCAAGCCCCTTCCCATCTCTTGTCCCATTTCCCTCATCTGCAAAATGATAGATTTTTAAGGTTAGATCGTAGATTTTAGGTAATAGATAGATCACAGATTTTTAAGCTCCAAAAGGGCTCTTAAATCTATTTTCTTCGTTGTGTGTTCCTAGTGCTCAGGATGGTTCCTAGTACATAGTAGGTGCTTGATAAATATTTTTTGAATGAATGCATGGATGAATGAATGATGGAGCAAATGAACATACCCCTCTTTCTTAAAAAAAAAAAGATTTCTCAATTTATTTGAGAAAGAGAGCAGGGGGAGGGACAGCGGGAGAGGGAGAAAGAGAATCTCAGGCAGGCTCCCACTCAGCTCAGAGCCCAATGTGGGGTTCGATCCTATGACCCTGAGACCATGACCTGAGCCAAAACAAACAGTCAGATGCTTAACCAACTGAGCCACCCAGGTGTCTCTGCATCCCTCTTTCAAAAAGCTATT